CTATATCTCCTTCAAGGTGCAGCGGAAATGATTAATTCGTTCGTCGTTGTCTTACTTTAGTCCATCTCTTTCATCTCTCCAATTTCCAAAGAAAGGATGCTAGGTTATATTTTTTAAACTAGATCAGTGAATTCATTGTCGTGAGTGATGTGATCGATGATAACGATTTAAATTGATTAGATGAAGAGCACAAATAAAAACAGGATTGTGCTTGGGATTGAACTCGCATCCTTCTACTTAGAAAGCAGAAACGGTAACCACTACACAAGACTGAAGTAGTGTTGTGGAATAATGAATACGTCGTTTATAAAGCATTTACAAAGCATGCGATTACAACAAGGACGCATAGTGGTACAAGAGCTATTATGCTGACTGTATCCACCTAAATTCAGCAATATTGTAAAGCAATACAATGAAATCTAATAATGAAGCTAGAAAACATTTATTGGACGTCTAATTAAGCATGTTATTAAATCAATTGAAAAGTGTCGAATTAAAGCATCGATGTATGTGCAAATTACACTTATTCAGTTTGTTATTAGATCAAACTTCTGGTGTAGAATCGAGAAGACAGTGAACGTTTATAAAGCTTTTAATAAGTAAATTAATCAGATCAGAGCAAACAGCGGAACAAATGTGCACCGATCGATCTCAATGAGCTTTTTTCAGCACATAATTCGATAACCCGTTTTATTCAGCATTGTAAACTGTTATACAGCATTTCAATATATATGCTTATTTGTGACTCTGAATGGTTTCTTGGGTTCGTATATTGATGATATTGACGGCGAAATTGACGGTTTATGGTCAATAAATTCTGAGTATTGACAAAGTGAAATTAAAATCAGCTTTTCGTCAATACTTGTCATCAATCATCGTCTTCAATATCACCTTTTCAATAATATTGTCAGTATGTCAATTTATTGTCAATATATTGATATGTGTAATGGGCGCTTAACATGAACTCCAGTTTTGTTTCTCTCGTAAAAAGGTGTTCAACGCTTCATTTCTATAACGCCTAGCTAGACTATCAGCAAGAAACAAAAATAAAATAGTAGCACGCTTAGAAGCAAAGGCTGGCTGTGGATCTTCTCGTCGTTGCTTTGCTCATCGCTTTCAATGTAAGTAACGTTGATTTTCTTGTTAAACGTAACCTCATTATGGCTTTCAATCCCCTTTCACGAACACTCTATCATCGCTCTTTCAATTTGTTTAAAATGCGTTATAATCCCGTTCTCGTAAATCTTTTTTAGATAAATATGTGGATGGAAGATAAATTAATCATATTACGTGTAATCTTCAAGTGTTTTCACGTGAGAAATGCTTTAAAGATCTTTTTTTAATTTTCCGTCTTATAGGGTTTTTGATCTAATTTCCGTCCTACTAAGCACAACCCGCGCTTTACCTCTCTTTTCTGAACGATTTTAAACAAAAAATAGAATATTTCTGTCAAAGATGACTTGCAAATTTATTCACCTTTCCATACGTACCGTTGGATTTGATAAAGAGTCACACATTGTTGAGATATTATCTAAAATCTAACACTGCTTCTTGATTCTAAATTCGTTCTACGAGTTTCAATTCCGTCGTAACGCATTGAAACGCCATTAGATTTTCTTCGTCCTACGGATAAACGTAGAAAAAGGGGATTTGCTAGGAGCGTTTCTTTTGTTTTGAGAACAATGAGCGTAAATATTCATACAATGCGCTCTAACAGTATTTATGTTGTAGCTAATGAACTAACGCATCGGAACAAACCTATTATTGATTTGTGCACGGTGAAATCATTGATATTATTGATCTTTTCTGATCGATAGAACGGGCGATTACGACGAAGTAGCGCTTTACCCTACGTCATGAAACCTCTGTTGATGTGTTTCATGAAAAGCCTAGTATACAGATCGAAGCGAAACGAAAATTGAAGCACACGAAAAATCATGAAATTTCGCTAGCGAAAAGGTTGTGAAAAAATGTTTGTGGAACATTTTACAGTTTCCTTTTTTCGCAGTTTACAAGTCATGTGAAACGAAATCGATCAGTTTACACCTCCGGTGAAGCGAAAATCTGACAGATACGCTCTTTCTCGAAACGTCAACTTTTCGCATAGCTGCTGCTCTTTTCGCTAGCGCTGCATGCGCGAAAAAAAAATAAACGTAATCGAAAAAGATACGATCCAGGGGGGCGACCCCGGCGTAGTGGTTAGCATCCATACCTCTCACGTCAAAGTCACGAGTTCAAATCTCACCCCCGGACAAGTCACGAATGACCCAAGAGCGTTAAAGTGACTATAATAATAAAAAAAAAAAAAGATACGATCCACAAAATTAGATTTCGTTGGATCGTATCTGTTTACAGTTCAAAGTGAAGTGAAAAATTTGCCAATTGCGTTTTTCACGCAGGTGAAAAATTTAGTATTTTGTATGAGGTTTTCGCTTCGCTTCGATCTCTATACAGGCCTAAAGCTGGGGGGGGGATGTGCTGTCAAATCAGCCTACTGATCATCTTGTATGAAACTGGTTCCAAACGTAAACAAACGCTGTAGGTTTCTTATGGCTTGTTTACGTTTGGAACCAGTTATGCGAGGTAGGCGACGATTGTTCGTATTTGACAGCCACCTCCCCCCCTTGGCCTAAAGACGATACTATCGAAGTCGAACGCTCTTTCGCTTGTCCGTTTCACCGAAGCTTGAAAGAAAGACAAATGCACAGTGGTCCAGAATGCAGATTTAGGTGGAATGATATGTTTTGAGCCTGAAATTGAAAATTTAGACTAAAAGTCTCTTGTACAAAGTTGTTCCTTATAGTTAGGCCCTCATTTTTATGACAATGAATTCTAGGGTGGTACTTGTAATCATTAAAACCAAAAATCTAACTTTTTTGTTTGAATAAATTAAGGTATACATTTATAGCTGAGCTAATTTTAAGCAACTCTGTTAAAAAAAAACTTTTGTGCATCTCTTAAATTTACCGATTTAAAGCTATTTTCTTGAATTGAGTTAGGGTGTCTCTGAAAAAACAGTTGTTTTGCTCTAGTTTTCTTATTTCAAATTTTTCAGTAAAGGTGTCGTGGAATAGCTTTTAGATCTTTAGAAGACACACATTTTTGGTGCACAGAGCTTGTCGGTATCTTTCTCCAATCAAAAGTTATTGACGTTTTTCTACTAAAAATATGCCCTTTTTAAATGTTAATATCTCTGGTTGGGGCAAACAAAAATAAAGTTTTTTTACGTCATTTGAATGGACGTATGTTATTCTCAATAATGCGAAAAAATTAGAGGTAAGTTATTTTTTAAACTCGTATAAAATCAATTTGAAGTTATTCATATTTTTTACTAAAACTGGTTGACCGTAAAAAAACTTTTTTTTTGTTTGCCCCAACCAGAGATATTAATATTTTAAAAGGGCATATTTTTAGTAGAAAAACGTCGATAACTCTTGATCGGAGAAAGATATTGACAAGCTTTGTGCAGCAAAAATTTGCGCCTTCTAAAAGTTATTTGGAGACACCTCTGCTGAGAAATTTGAAATTAGAAAACTAGTTCAAAACAACTGCTTTTTTAGAGACACCCTAACTCAATTCAAGAAAATAGCTCTTAACCGGTAAATTTAAGAGATACAAAAAAAGTTTTTTTTACTAAGTTGCTTAAAATTAGCTCAGCTATAACTTTGCCGAAAAATACATACCTTAATTTATTCAAACAAAACAGTTAGAGTTTTGATTTTAATGATAATAAGAACCACCCTAGAATTCATTGTCATTAAAATGAGGGCCTTACTATAAGGAACAACTTTGTAGAAGAGACTTTTAGTCTAAATTTTCAATTTCTGGCTCAAAAAATATCATTCCACCACATTCCACCTAAATCTGCATTCTAAACCACTGTGCAATGGAGCGACGGGAGAAAGAGAGAATGCTGCGAAGCATCGATTTGGTCGATTGGTCGAAGCTGATATTGTGACGCCCTGGTCATGATCCTTATTCCACTTAGTCTTTCTTCTTTAGCTTTTATTACGTCCTCAGACGGCTCTCAGCATAGTGTTCTTTAAGAACATTCACAGTTTTTAATTGATAGCTTTCTAAGCCTGTACCATGTTTTCATTAGTATTATTGTGTAGCTAGTATCATCATATTCTATGCGTAGGAAAGTCGAGACATTTTTCAACCCAAAAAATTCACAGAGCGGACCGAGAATCGAATCCAGCCGCGTCCACCATGGTCTTGCTTTATAGTTGCGTATTTTCCGAGGGAGCTATGCAAGACCCTTAATCACAAAAAAAAAACTCTGAATTAACGACTGCAAACTACTTGAAAATTGATAATTAAAGGGTGGATTAATGATTGAAAGTCCCATGTAGAAATAATGTTGGTCGTTGGTCCAATGTGCGGTTAGTCAATCTCTAACTGTTTATATACTTTACTATAATATATTATTGTGATAATAAAATTATCCATCCTCGATGCCATAACGACCCTATTATGTTAATGGCAACTACAATCAAAATTTAGGTTAATTGAAAATGCTACAAAAATACATTCCTAGATGTGTACTTATGTACGACTGGCACACTTCTCAGCGACATTGAATCCCATTTCCCAGTATTCTCTGCAGAATAAATCATATAAAAATCAACAAGGTTATCATCCGCCACATAAACGTACGCCATCATGGAAGCACATGCTGCCGGGAAAGAATACGTATCAACCGGTATAGAACCACCGAACGTGAACAGCCATTTCAAGCGGTGGATAATAAAGTGAAAGGATAATCACATTCAAACAAGTAAATTCCTTTCTCATCTCCTTCCAGCCCGAAGTAGTGAAACAACATTTTTAAGTAGAAAAAATGAAATAATGTTCAAAACCCCCCTACAGTACACTGCTTGGCTTTTACTGAGCTGAAGCCTGAATTACAAAAAAGAAATAAAAAGTAGAATGGTATGAAGAAAAATGTTTCTGCAAAACTATCCTTCTGAAGCGAACAGCGAGATGCCTTCCCTCACCATCATCGTCAGGAAGGTCGGAATCGTAGCGCCCGTAGAGAGCGGAGAACTTGAACGAATAGTGCTGCAACATGTCGGAATACGTTTGCTGCATATTGCATAAGTAAACCCGCGGGCAAATCTCCTGCTGTTGCACATCGGTGGAAGAGGAACGGACGAGGGCAGTGGCTCTGGTGTTGCCAGCGCCTGCAAGCGGTTGGGAAATTTTAGGGATGTTGCTGGTGATGAAAAGAAAAGAAAGAATAAATTGAAATTGAAATCAATGCAAGAGCTATCCTTCCCCGAAAATATCTTCCTAAGTAGTAGCTGGGACATCCTGTTGATCCAGGGGACTGGGAATCCTGGTGAACACGGGGTGCCATTAGTCCCTATTTCCGGGAGATAGCGGAACAGCTCCAACCGCCTTGGGCTGCAGTAATGCGTCCTCAATTTATCCTCATTTTCCTCGTTGTGCCATCATGTTCTACAATGTTCTACATTCTTCGGAATTAACATATACATGTAGTAGTTGGCAGTACGCTGTTCACTTCAGTCCGTGTCTCGGTCGCACGCTTATCGATTCCATGAGTTGAATATTAGATGAGACATTTGCCCTCTGCCATCCTGAATGGCTTCCTTTGTGAGCGGCATGGCTGGTATAAAGGCAGAACAAGGTTTCTTCAGATTTATCGACCAGAACCGGGCTTGGGCATGGAGCGCGAACAAGTTTCAGATCTGCGAAAGGTTGATTCACATGTTCACATTCGCCTTTCCGTTTAATAGGGCTCAGTTTGGCGTGCGGTGGAAATGGGTCATTGAGAAAGTGAAACGATAACTGCAGTTTGCCGTTCGTCTTGCGGAACAGCTCACGGAATCAATAGAGCAGAGGTAACTTTTTCTCTACCCCTTGATCGTTAGGAAAATCAAATGTTTTTTGTTTTTGTGACTGGATACTGCACAACAAATGACAAACAGCTATTTTGAGAAATCAGATGTGTTCTGTTTATTTGGTGTTCCCATCTACATAATATAACATAAATCGTTCAAATGGGAATTCACATTCGCATTGAGCAAGTTGCACAAATTAGTAGATGGTACATGTCCTAGTCCGCTGTTAAAGAGTTCTGCCTCCTCCGTCCATTACCGTATTTTGACCTAGATTTTGGGATTGATCTTAGCTTTTTAGATGTAGATAGCGCACTTTCTCCAACAATCGAGGACTGTCCTGGCCACGTACATGCAACTGCTGGAGATGGGAAATATTGTTATTTGAACGCTACTTAAGTGGAATGCAGAGAATTACATCCTCTCATAAGGAGTTTGAAGGTTCATAAGTGAGGAGGGTTAAGTCATAGGATGCGTTCGGTAAGTTTTGCTGGCAGATGTGTTATAGCAATCAATGAAATACTGGATAGGAAAAAAAAATTAACTCCCCACCTTATGCTCAGTAAGCAGAAATGGTAACCAAATCTTTCAAATGTTAATTATTGAACATTTAAAAACAATAACAAATGGATTCATCTGAAACTTTCCATATGCTGCACAGTTCGAAAAAGTAGTGTAAATTTCTGTTCAATATGTTGCACATAAATGGAGCATCACATATTATACAAATTTACATTATAAATCGTGTAATGGTCTGAGACATTTCATACAATGTTTCAACTGTTGCAACATTTTTTGCAAGCTGCTGGTTTGCGTTAATATTAGTTTTTACCCACCATTACATCACAAGTAAAATTCAGATTTTTTGCTGTGTGCAGCAAAACCAGCGCTAAGGTCTGTTCCCGGAAAAATGAGACACCTATAAAGTGCTACAGCTCTTCAAAACTTGTATGTCATTATTACATGATCACTCCCCCCAAACTACGTAGCTCTAACTCACTTTTTTTGAAGATTGAAAAAAAAAATCTCAATCAATCATATCATCAGGCAATTTTCTACAGAGATGGTGCTGTTCCGCTGGTAGGAAGTAATTCAAATCTCCATAAAATTGAGAGAAGTGGGAATAATTCGCTTTTGATGCATATTCAGGTCAAAAAAGAGAACGACAGCCTAAGGAAATCATTCATGGACTTTGTCCCTTACTTATTTTAGAGATGAACTAGCCTATGGCTAAAAATCTCCTAAATAAAGACAAAAAACTTCAATTATTTTCCCGAAATTATTATTAAACAAGCTACAATTAAATAAAAATGATTTTTCCCCATACAGTTTATCCATTTTTATTACCAGTCTCCAGAGAGCCAAAAAAAAAAAGTCAAAATTTGAGAGAGAAAATTCGCTCCCATGAGCTCAATATCTCAACATGCCATGTATATTGAAGACACTCTATGTATGATTTCCCTCTCACAGACTTCAAAATAGAGTACCTGACACTTTAAAACGTGGCATGCATTTAAATCAACATCTGAAGTCCCTTCTTTTTTTACTTATTCTGCACAAAATATATTTTCTGTAGTTGAAGATGCTAATTTCAAATAACAGACTAAAGTGGTAATTTTTATACGATAGATGAGGAGATGAAAGTATAGAATTGATAGTTCCGTTTAGAGTACGGCAGTGTGAAAATTGCATATAGAAGTAGAAAGCGAGCTAGACAACTTTTAGGAAGGTACAAATCAGTTTTATCATCTCTCTTTACCAAACTCCCCCTTTGGTGAGGGATGGTGAAACCCCCCCCCCCCCGCCACCACTGGCAAAAAGAGATGATCACCGACCCGCTCATATACCAACGATGTGTTTGAAACAGTTCTACCGATTTTTATCGCACTCCAGTTGTTATCTGAAGGAAGGCATCCAGTCGTAGGTTTTGAAACTGCAGCTTTTGTTACCTCTACCACGGTATATGCTCCTGTCATCGTCTACTTGACGATCTCGAGGGGACACGGGTGGGGTAGGTGCTGCTACTGTACCTTTCGACCAATAACAGTAATTGATGGTATGCTCCCATCCAGAGTTATGTACTTTGACTATATGTTTAGTATTACTTCTGCTACTTTCTGTCCTGCCCCCATTCTAAAAAAAATGGCTGGAAATCCTGTTAGGGGCGGGGCTAAGAAAGTATTTTGTGTGCAGAATATGTAAAAAAAAAGAAGGTACTTCGGATGCATGTTTTGTGCAGAATATGTTAAAAGGAGGGACTTTGGATGTTAATCTAAATGCATATATAGAGGCACCATACATGTTTTGACCGCACTGCCCCCTTAACGGAGTATGCGTAATTTCTGATAGATGTCACCATTAAGAACAGCAGTGACATCTGAAGGAAAATTAACGCAGAAGCATGGTAACATGATTAACTAACAGTTTGAAAAGTTTTTACTGTTAAATATATTTTAATATTTTTTTTCGATTTTGATAAAAACAATTCACTTTAGTCAATCTGTTACGTAACATTTTCCAATTCCTCCTTTCTTACAAATTTGAGAATCCCTCAATCACTTTTCTCATATAAATTTCCAAAATTTGCCTCCTTAACTCGACAGTCCTTTCAAAAGCGAGTTAGGGATTGTTAACAAAATAATCATTAGAATGGTATGTCCCGTGGCTTTGCGTGCATCTATACACACTTAGAGATTATCACCGACTTCGGTGTTTTTACCAAACTTGAAAGCTGCACTGTTTGATAAAAAATCAGGCATTTTAATTCATTAGTTTTAAGGCTTTAAAACAAGGGAAACTTCACCACAATGGCAAGACTCGATTATGTAAACAGTGTGTTGAAAATCAAATTTAGTGAAACATCTTTTGAAATGACGGTCAAAGTTTTACCGAGCGTTCAGCTGTTGAAAGTGTGGTAAAAATTACCGAAGTCGGTGATAATCTCTAAGTGTGTAGATGCACAGGCGCTTCCTTAAGACATAGTTGGTTGACGATTGCTCTAAAAGGGAAGTCAATATCTGCTTGGAAATTAATGTCGGCGAATCGAAGGTGATTAAGTATCTTAGAACGGTTGTAAAAATGCGCAATAGTAGCATGAACCAACGATATAAGCCCACATGAACGGTTTTCATATATCTACTGGTTTTGGTAACTTTATCCTTTACCTTCAGCATCCCTATCATTATTGCTTAGCATTACTCAATGGGGAAATTGTTTTCGTAATATAAAATAAATTAAATGCAACATTAATCTTGGCAAAATGCCCCTTTGCTGCTAAGCTACTCAGATTCACTGTCCTGCTCATGTTTTTTAGTCAGAGGAGTGGAGCAACGGGCATCGTTAAGGGATAAGCTTCTTAAATAATATTTTTAAGAAAAAGCTTATAAAAGAAGCTGCTTAAGACGATTCTAAATGAAACTTCTAAAAGAAGCTTCTTAAGATGATTGTAGAATAAGATTCTTAAGAAGAATCTCAAAGAAGCTCCTTAAGAAGATTCTAAAAGAAACATCTTTTGGAAGCTTATACTAGAAGCTTGCCCGTCACTCCGCTCCTCTGACTAAAAACAAACATGGGCAGGGCAGTAAATATGAGTTGCTACACAGTAAAGCAGCATTTTTCCAACATTAATGGAGCATTCCATCGTTTTAATATTGCATTCCCATAGCTGCCAAAACTAGCGACAATTGAGTAGGTTTGTTACAAACTGAACTCTTTTAATCTCGTGCAATCGTAACACACCCTGTCGGCTGCACCGAAGTGTTTGACCAAAATGTAGTATGGGGTTGACCTGGGTTGATCTGCATAACATTCCACCACAGTTGACGGTTGACTCCGATGCTTCATTTGAATTTTTACAGCCGTCGTTGCGTTTTGTACTTTTTCAACTACCCTACGATATATCTTGGGAAATCAAACACTCTTGCAACCTACGGATCATGTTTGGATTTATTGGTAATTGCATGAGCATGAGCATGATTGACGCTGAATTAAAGTAATAAGTATGTTCGAGTTAAGAAAAAAAGCGACCAACGAATCTTGAATGTGAAGGGGCATGAGAACCCATGATGTTCTACTCAGTATGCAAAAGTGGGCTCTCTTTAGCCCCCGAGCCCCTCATATCGCATCCCGCCACTTATACTCGAGTTGTAGTAGCAACCATTTCCGGCACCGATGAAAACGACGACAATTTTCACAAAACACACAATTTGACTGTAAAACTCTTTAATATCATGGGTGTGATCCCATGATTTTCTGCTCAGTAAGCAAAAACGGATGTCTAAAGCAACCGAGCTCATTTTTCTAAATCCTTATCGGGTGTTTTC